AATTGGGTGTCCCTCGGTCTGTGAGCTTTGGTATTCAGTCTTCAGGGTTTTGAGGATGAACTAGTGATTGTTGGCTCGGTTAGAGAGGAACTATTGGCATGGAAGTCTCTGAAAGGCAGATACCTGTTTATTGAGATGCTCCCCCTCATATCTTGTGGACAATTTGCAAAGAAAGAAATAGAAAAGCTTTTGTTGACATTGATTGTACTAAGGATTTTGATGTATTAAAAAATAGATGGTTTAGGACCCTTGAGTTTTTATTGTCGGGTCAACCTTCAGTTATCACCGAGACTTTAAAAAATTTCTGTCGTGGGAATACTGTCTTGTAAATGTTTTGTAAATGGGTGGCACCCCATTTTGGTGCTTATAGTAATTTTATTCGCATTTATTTAAAAAAAAAAAAAAGAATGGAAGGCCCATCAATAATCTATCTGTGCATGACTAAAGATCAGTCTGAACAACATCAGATTCGCTAAAGAACAATTAGTGACAAATAATACATGGGACAAAAGTACTTGGCACACTAAGATCAGATTGTTAAGAAACTCCATACCATGGAAAGAAAAATAGATTTCTTTAACTGGAAGCTAACTCAAGATAGGTTGATGACTTGTTGCTAATGATATATTGAGGTTCAAAGTGGTTATTTACATGTAAAGCTTGCTTCCCTTCTTCTATGACATGCTATGCAATCTGAAATAGATAACTAAGGAGAGCATGAATTTCCAAACACTAACAAGTTGTTTCTCATTTTTACTTCTCAAAATCCTTGCATTGAAGCAGCCGGCTAATAATCTAAAGCTACCAAACTTGCAAAAGCAATATATGCTGCAAATACCAGAGGATAAGAACTGGATATAAGTTAGAACGTGGATTACAGTGTTACGCTTTGACATGGTCCTTGTAAGCTGAGCTGCAACTCCAAAATCACCTGTCCACAGTGTCATGAGAAGAATTAAATCAATGCATAATTAGAAGCAAAGACAACAAGATGTAAACTGTGAATGCTAATATAAGAACTTAAGGAAACATGATATCTAAGAGAATGCATACACAATATTAGGCATTGTTTCCCATTATATCCATATCACCCCTCCTTAATTCCATCTATTTTTTTCTTCTGAAAAGATTCTTAATTATCTATGTTTTAACCATTATTAGTGAATACACAAATAAGCATCACCCATATTTAAAGAAACAAAGTCAAAAAATTAATTTCTTATGGTCGGAACACACAGCCACGAGCACTACGTTATGATCAACGGATGTTCTTGGGTGAATAAAGACCATGGTGGGAGAAAGCAAGACACAAGCTAAGGGCCAATAGGGAATCAAAATCCAATGAGCTGGTTCCCTTGTCTGCATTATGGATGATGTGCTTAGAAGCAGGAGAACATAGGGGACAAAATTTGGAAAGTGCAAGCTAAGGGTTGATAAGGATATAAAAATCCATTCAGCCAGTTCCTTCATCTGTTTATGGATGATGTGGTTAGATGGAAGGAGAGACTCTTTGGTGGAGGAGAATCCCTCAACTAGTGGATTAAGATTGGTGGCTTTGCAGATTTAGTTGATTTCCTTCATGAAAATGATGACAGCTCTAAAGAACTTCCAATTCTAAAAGGTTTTTGTCTTTTAAATGCAGGCAGCAGCTTCTGTGTATAAAAATTTTCCCATAGAAAGTTCTAGAAATGTTGAAAATAATAGGCTACGCACAACATCAATCAGGTTATGATATTCAATTTATCATAAGATGAGGCCTTCCTGACAGTTCATCAAGTAAATGTTTCTGATGTATGGATAATTTTGGTAAGTAGGTTTTTTTTATACATCAATGCTTCTTCAGATATTATAAGGGTTTTATAGTATAAGCCACTCTATTACTTTCTGAATATGCCACTTGAAAAGCAAGCCTAAAACTTTTCCTTGTACTAAACCTTCTCCTTCAATAAGCATGAGCATGTAACAGTTAGAAGAGAATAGAGCATTGAAAATATGTTGCGTTTTAATATTAAACAGAAATCCATGGGACCATACTAACCTCATATTAGTAAAGCTTAAATGAGTAACGGAAAAGCCAACATTATCATCGTCTAGAATAGAAGTCAAATGCATCCATCATACACCTTTTTCTTTTTATCATTTACAAAATAAAACAGTTTTTTCTTGCTTTATAGTACATAAATAAATGAGACGCTTACTCACCCAACTTGACCTCTCCTTGTTCAGTTAACAAGACATTACCACCTTTAATGTCTCTATGGACCTTGAAAATTGAGTGCAAATATGCAACGCCCTAAACATATCAAAATAAACCAAAAGCATGTTAAGCATTGAACAGTTTTGAGCCTGCTTAATTGATAAATTCTGGATCCCAAGAAATAACCACACATGCACGTGCATATGAATGAGAGAGAGAGAGAGAGAGAGAGAGAGAGAAAGAGAGCTAATATATCTACACATAGAAATAGAGTGAAAAATAGGAAAATAGAATAGGACCCAGTTTCTTCTCTTCGCACTTACAGAAGAATTTTCAGGAAAATTGTGATACAAGATCGCATGCTATCAAGAACCAGTGATACCTTCAATGCTTCACGACAAATATATGCTATCTGAGACTCCTCCAATGGCTCCTCAGTCACATTCATTAAATCGGCAACACTTCCACCCCCACAATATTCCATTACTATCTGCCCAAACATGAAATTTGTCATGAAATTTGCCGTCTTAACTTCAAATACTTGACAATAAAAATATATATTGAAATATTTTTCTGAAGGAAGTAACCAGCAGAATGCTTCAGTACTCACCCAAAGATACTCTTCCCCTTGGTAACTTCCAAGGTAGCGGACAACATTTGGATGACTGCATTGCTGCAACATCTCAATTTCACCCCGAATTTCTTCATAACCCTCCTCCTGGGTTCAAAAACAACTTGTCATTTCTACTGGTTCAAAGAACTGAACCAACAAAAGAACATGATTACAAGGGAACAAGTTTCCACACCCCTTCACATAAGGATATAACTTTTATGGCAACAAGTTCTGATGTTCTCAAGTCTCTAGCTTTATAAACAGCCCCATATGACCCTTTCCCTGTCATGCCAGAAACCAATTTCAGCATCACAAGAAACAAAGAAATATAAAATGCAGCTAATAACTGAGCACTTTCAATGAAAACCTATAAGTAACTGCTAAATCAGCCTGCATTTAGGGCTCAAAATATGGTATCTTGAAGCACCAATGGACACTGCTTCGGTAAATTGGTTATGTAATTTGATAAAGAAAACGAATATTCCGCAAAAACTCTTCAGTAATTTAGTTCCAGTTTTAAGTTAAACTTTTGGTTTTTCAGTACATAACAACTTTAAGAAAAGGAAAATATGTTAATAAGTTGAGTTTTTAAATTTAGTTTTCCAAGTTCAATAATAATCAACAATGTTTATATGTTTATTTAATATCTTTTAATGCACCTCTTTTGAAAAAAAAAATAAAAACAATGATATGAAATTGGTTTTTTAACTATTTGTCAGGAACATAATTAGAAAATTAACACCTCTTGATAAGGTGTATTAAAGAAATTACGTAACTAGGAGATAGTTGTACGTGCAGTATTACGTGTGTTGTTTGTGATTTTATAGATAGGTGTATGTGCTGGATAATGGTGCTATTTTTGTAAATTTTATATGTTTGTATTTTTTATGAAGTATTGTGAGTGTTTTTTTTAAAATACAAAAAGTGTGATCTTATATTAACAATGTACCAAAACGGGGAGTACCGGGCCATGGTACAA